ATAAATTTTATATATTATATTTATACAAAAATTTTAACTATTTATCTTTATATTTTTAATGACTAAGATTTATATAATTTCCATTTAAATTCATTTTTTTCCTGTATTAGAAAATTATAATTATTTATGGATATGCTACTCAATTGAATTTTAACCTTTTTCCCTCGGATGGAACCTCCGCTACCACCCGACCCAACGCAGTCGGCACACGCCCTTCCTCCCCCTCCAGCCCCTCCAAGCAGCCTTGCCTTTAACAACACTGCAGCACCTGTGTAGGCTATGGATATAATTACCATTAAATTTTTAATATCATTAAAATTGTTATATTTTTATTTTAATTTAATTATTAAAAAAAGTAAATAATTAATAAAATAATTAATATTTATTATTTAATAAATTAAAATGAATTTATGAATAAATATTTTTAAATATTATAACCATAATTCTAAAAAAATTATAAATTTATGGTTAAACAACAATATTTGATAGCTATAACCTTAGCTACCTGTGCTCGCGCAACAAAATGACATCTGCAAGTGCAGCAATTTTTTTTTTTTCTTTTTATCCAGTGGATTAGAAGGCTCTCTCTCTTTTTAACTTTTTGTTTTCAATCAAATTATTTTATTTGAAGATATAAATGTAAGTTAAATAAAATAATATTAATATTATTTTTTAAAAAATTTTGTGCATTGGTGAAAAAGTGATATATTAAGTATTTTATTTAAGGGTTAAATATCTAAAAATATGAGTTTATACAAAGAATTTCCTATTTTATAATTCAAAGGAACTTCCAATATTAGGACCTGCTTCTCATCTAACAATTTTTGTTGCGCCATTCAATAGTTTGAATTATACAATAGTTTTTTTATTATATAAAATAATATTAATTGTAATAATATGATATGAAATTGAGTTTTTTTATAAAAAAAAAATTGATATATCCTCTAGTTTAACACATTCAACATCCTTTAATTCAATTATTAAAATTTACCTTTAAAAATTTTCTCACCTTGAATTCAAATTTGAAAATATTAATTTATTAATTAATAAATCAAAATGTATTGCGCAGTGTGTTGAACCATATGAAGTATCAATCATTGTCCCTTTTATAATTCTCATTATGCATGCTCTTCTCCGGCCTCTGCTCGCTCAATATATATATATATATATATATATATATATTGCCCTTCAAACATCAACTACTGACTGACTAAGAATAAGAAACGAAAGCACAAATCTTCAACGTTAACGCATATACAGCCTTTGCTATAACCAATTAAGGTTCATGTGAAGAGATACATTTATTTTAAATTTATAGAATATACTTGAGCAACTCGTTTCGAGCAGCGGATGAAATGCCAAATGGGATAAAAAACGTGTCCACTACAAGCAGATGTATCTATAGTGACGGAAGTTTTCCGTCAGTCACATAGAAATTAATGGCAATGAATTAATTGGGTGCAGTGATCTCAGCAGGTTTACCTACACCCCCACCAGATTTTAATGCCTCTTACAAGGGGTGAAGGAAAAAATTTACAACAGGACAAAAATATGAAATCGATCTAAATTATAATTGATGGGTTGGGTTTGAACAGATTTGGAGTATTTTTTTATCAGGTTTTGGTTATACCAAATTTTAATTGGGTGGATTTTGATTATTGCGGTCTAAAAATCAAAAACCCGATACTAGTTTGAGTAAAATTGAATTTATTTTGGTACACTCTTTTTCCATCAGTATAGACCCTCACGGACTATTTCGACGGAAGAGCTTTCCGTGGGTAGAAACCTCATCAATATAGAGTCTATACCAACGCCCAATCCGTCTGTATAAACCCTTGGATCTATTCTGATGGAAGATTTGTCCGTTGGTATAAACCCTAAGAAATCTTAAGAATTTTTCTGTCTACATAGACCTATACATTTACTGATGGATAATTCCGTTGGTGTAGACCCTAAAAATTTTTTTAAAAATTCCACCATGGGTATAAACCTTTACCTTTACAGACCAACTGTGTTATGATATCGTTGACCCAAAAAAAAAAAAAAAATCTATGTTCTGATGCGTGTAATGCATGCCTAAACCTAACATTACTTTGACTAACTAATTGAAAATGAGGGTGGACAGTAATCAGCTGGGTGGATGCAAAAGATATAGATGCAAAAAGTTTGATAACTAATTTTAAGCTAAATATACTCCAATCATCAAAGTGAATAAAGAAAATTCTATGTTACTTATATTAGCTCCAAGACATTTAAAAAAGAAGAAGACAAAGAAACGATCAACAGAACTTATTATTCAACTAGCTGTGACTATCACCCTTAGAAAATACCCAAACAATTCTTTTACCATCCACCCTATCATAAAGTATAAGCTTCTTACCCTGCAGTTCTTCCATGGAGGATGCCATACAGGACGTGGCCATTTGCTTGGAACTCTTTCAATTATTGCAGAGGTTGTTAGCCTATTAAATAACAGATAACAAAAAATCTCAAGATAGAATTCTATGTTTCCAGATATAATTACCATGGCATAACAGAACAGGTACTAGAAAGCTCCATTAATTCCCAATCAATTATAAAGTATGCAATAAGATAAAACAAGGCCAAAGCATAAATGCATAATGTAGATTTTGAAAAACCATAGATATGCCTGAATACTATTAAGTAAAAAAAATATAAAGATGAAAGGTATTTATCTCAATGGGGAATAGGCTAACATAAGGAAGATTAATTTAGCATACCAAAATACATAAGAAACTAAGTGGGACTTCCAATAGAAGAACATGTCATAATTTTGTAATAGTATCACGAAGACAAAAAAGGCATGTGAAAGAGATTTAAAACCTTTTAGAAAACCCAGGTGCAGAAACAGTTTTTGGATCAAATTTAACAACACCTAAAAGAACATAAAATCCGTTGGCCCTTAATGCTAAACCTGAGGAGAAAAAAGTGGAAAAAAGTTTAAATCAGAATTTCAAAAAAGCATTAATAAGAAAAAAGGAATAAAGCATGGCAAACATGTCTCAATTTCTTTTGATCAGAATTTCTGTTTTCTGTGTCAGATGGGAAGGGAGGAGGTAGGCACGTAAAAAGGACCATACTGCATTGCAAGTTTACCATTGAATCCAATCTTCTTCTTGTAGGCAACAATAGTTTCAAGAAATCTTGCCTGTCAAAATAATTAACAATGCCTTTAGTTCATAGACCTGGAGATTTTAGGGGAAAAATTATAAATAAAATTGTTGACAAGAAACAAAACTGCATAAAGAATGGTAAAACCCTTGACCTAACATACAATGAGCAGAAGATAAATCATAACAATACGACATATGAAGCAATATATCAGAATTTCAAACTACAGAACATAAGGGATAACCTTAGCAAATGATCAAGCTCTTTTTCCATATCAATACTCAGAAGAGTCTGATAACCCTCCCGGCCACCCCAAAAGACATAATTTTCTCCACCCAAATAATGTGTTACTTGTAGAATGAATGAACCAAAGCACATAACAATAAGCAAATATGGATACCAACATAACTGCAAGCTATTTGCACAAAGCTAGAGAACAATGTCCTTGAAATTATATTTATAACTAATCACCCACCTCAATGGCTTTCTTGACCTGAGCAGCAGCATATGCATAAACTCCTAATTCAGAGCTGCGCAAAGAAAATTGAAAGGTTAACTCATAAAGAGATCAACTGATGATGTTATATGGAGGGTAGACATGGTTCATAGTTAAAGCATACCTGGTAGCACCACCATGCATGTAATGAGGATGTACAAACAACTGGGCTGTACCCCATGAAGGACGGATTTTGCTTCCCTACAGAAATAAATACAAAAGGATTTCAAAAGGGCAGTATCAAGTAAATGGATAGTTAGGAGTGTGGTCTAGCATCAATGCGTTTAGTGTTCAATAAGTCAAAATGATAATTATAGGGGGCCCAATTTTTCTCAGTAATGTGAAACAGAGAATTATGCCTTTTTTTCCAAGAAAATTGGTATAAGAAATTAACAAAATGAGGCTTTTAGAACAACAGATATGCAATTTTGGGGCACCTCATTCAATCCCAAAGTATAAGAAATACATCTTCTTTGCCTTCCCAATGCAAGCACACAATAACATTGCTACAAACGAATTAAAAACTCAAGTTGTGTGAGTGTTTGGTTCTTCTTTTCTTTTTTTTGAATACATAGAGGTATCTCAGTAAAAGTTAGGACATCACTTTCTTAAAAAAAGAATATAAGATGGTAACTACTTGCACTCATTAGTGAAATAATGTATAGAAAATTACCTGAAGCTCTTTGGCAAGAGCTACCACTTCATCCAAATTTGCATTGGTTTCCTACAACAAAACAAATACCCCAGTCAATTTCCCCCAAAAAAGAGGCAAATAGAGGACGGCAAACTCCCCAGCATTCAAATTTTAAAATAAAAAGAAAATTCAATGTCTGTGCTCCACACAAACAGATGATAAAATCTACTACCTCCAGAGTTTTGCCATCAGGAGCTATATCCCTGTCGTGGAAACACCACTTATCAACTCCAAGCTTGTTTATGAACTCAAAATTGGCTCTCATTGTAATTTGTATCAAAAGGGGAATTTGCATCAGCATAAAATTACCAATAATCAAAGTAATTAGTGGAAAACATATGTATCTTACTTCTTCTTTTGGCCATAGCCAAGGAATTAGTACCATCTTCCCATGGCCAAAACTTGGTTGGTGACAAAATGATTTGATGCAGCCAGGACTTTTTACAAAGTACCTTCAAAAGGATATGTACATTAGGACAAGTTTAAGATTGTAATATCAGGAAAATTTATTATTCTGATATGGAAGTATATATAAGTCCATACTAAATCAAGCACACCTTTTTTCTAAATCATGTAATATCAGGATATTTACATTAGGACAAGTTTAAGATTGTGATTTCAGAACAATTTTTATTGCAGCAAACCAAGCACACCTTTTTTCTAAATCATGAGATGAGATTAACCCCAAGAATAATTACAGTAAACCCTAATTAAAACCCAGAATAGGAATCTATTTTTGAGATATTTTATAAAATTCTTACTCCATAGAAGAGATATAAAAGCAAATGTACTTATTATGAATTTAAAGTTTCCATAAATTTTATCCAGAAGCAATCCATATACAGTAAGCAGATTAACAATTTCATTTCTCTACAGATATACAAAAAAAAAAATTGCATTCGAAAAATACTAGTCTATCACCTGTTGAATTTTTGGAGCAAATTCTTCAACCTGGAAAAAGATGAACAGAGATCAAAGAAAAATGGAGCAAATCCACGAAAATAGAGGAAGAAATACTAGAAATAATAGAAACCTCGTTTAGGGCGAGTGAAATTCGAGCTACTTTGGGTGAGAAATTGGAAGGCAACAAGGAGGATGAAAGAAAGAAAAAGAAGAATCAAAGGAGTATAGACTAACCTTCTTTTTCTCTCAGTAACGGCACTGCCTCTCCGCCACCAGATCCTCAACAGAAGCCTCCATTTCACTCAGCCAAGCAGCACGCCACTGCCTCTCCTCCGCTGAAAACCTCCTATACATCAAATCAAATCAAAATTACAGGAGAACCCAAAGCTTGGCATAAAATTAGAGATGCATCTACAAATCTCAAAAACCCTAAAGTTGTACTCGATTTTGATATAGGAAAAAAGTGGATGAGAAACTCAGTTCAAAGAGTGTAATTCGGGGAAATTGGAAGGTAGCAAGAGGATGAAATCAACCCAAATACTTTTCTCTTGAACGAAATCAATCCATGAATATAGAAGAAATGCAGAGGATTATGAAGATATCACCCGAAATCAACACAAACTCACCTACTGACCTCCTGTTGTTGATGGATTAGAGTCGAGCTTCTGAATTTTGCAGTTAGGTTCGAATGGGTTTTTGAGTTTTAGGAAAATCGATTCCAAATTTTGGAGATTTGGGAGGGGGACGGAAATACTTAGGCCTACAGGGAGAGGGAAACTCAGAATTTGGGGAGGGAAAATTGGGAATATGTGGAGGGAAGGGAAAACGTATACAGAAAGCTAAAATAAAAGAGGAAAAAATCGTGTTTAAGAACCAGTGAATTATACTTAATTCGTCTGTATACACAGATTTATAGAAACAGATACTGAGTACTTTTAGAATATATATACCCTATATGAACAGATAATTAGTGAATTATTTGTATAAATTTAATTTATACTAATAGATATATTTTTTTATTATATAAATCAATATATATTGACTATTTATATTTCCTGTTGGTATAGACTTATATATAATAACTGCTTATGGTTTCCATTGCTATAGACTTATGTATACAGACGAATTTTAATTTATCAATATAAACTTTCGTTGTAAAAAACATTTTGCTTGTAGTTCCCATCCAACCTAATCTCAAGTTTGGGGGTACTAAGGATGGGATGAATTATATCGGGTTTTTTATGCAATCCCATGCTTATGAAATAAATTTAATCTCAACATTTCCATAGGATAAGGTGGGATTAGATTAAATTTCCTAAACCTATCGTTTTACTTCTTCACCTCTCTCTCTCCCTGTTTCTCCTCTTAGGTGAGCTTCTCTCTCCCCAACATCGTCTCTCGTTGTGACCTCTACTCTCCTTCATCTTCTGCAGGGAAGATAAAGTCATCTTGATTTCAACTTCAATCGATCTTACTCGGTGCTTTATTGAAAAAAAATAGAGTGATGAACAACTTCAACCTTATTTTATTGGATGAAAGAACAATTTTAACTTGAAGTGTGATTTAGGTTTTTGTTATATAGTTGCTTGGTTTCTAAGAAAAAAAATGAAAACGTATATTTCAATGGTAATAGAATTGCTGTTTGCTTTATTAGAAAAGAAAATAAAAGTCGATTCTTGTTTGGTTTCCAAGAAAAGAAAATGAAAATGAGCATGAAAATATTTAATTGATTTTTTTTTTTCACCAAAAATATTTACAGAATATTTTTTATTTGTATAGAAATATAAATTTTGATAGAATTGATAATAGTTCTGCTAGCTAGTTAATAAAATTAATTTCATTAGTTTGTTTGAATTAATATAAATTAAATTATTAGTTATCTTTAAATATAAAAAAGAATATTAATTTATCTTCTATGGATGATAAAAGGGCATTCTACTTACAAAATAGTAGAAAAGAAATTCATAATCGGAAAAAAAAATTTTAAAAAGTTAAAAATTGAAAATATTAGTATTAGATTGCACCAAAAGATATTTTTATCAATATATATACATATCTATAGCCAATTTTATAACACTCCAAATGAATGACTAGACTATTATTCTGTTCAATCTTTTTCCATCCAACCCATTCCTTTCCTATTGATTTTACCCAATTCAATCTCATCTTACATTTCAAACGAACAAGAGGAGGATTATATTTACCTCGATCGACTAGAATTCCAAATGCTAAAAGACAAACGAAGAAACATACATGCCCTTGGTGACAACATTTTGCTTTTCCTATAACTGCCTCTCTAATTCTACCATACATATGTTTTCTTCTACAACTTGGATGATGTTAGTCCCATATATCCTACACAAATTTTCTTACAGAACCAAGACATGGGAAACAAATATTACAGAACTAGAGCAAAACATGGGGGAGGGTCTGAATACTGAATTGGAATCTACATTGAAAATTGAAGCCTTTGGGGGGTGTTGGAGAGGGAGAGAATATTCTGAGGCCGCCACAGTTCAACAGCAAAACTCCAATGCTTTTATTGTAAAGAATGTTAGAAAGCAAAGGCATGATTAGATTATGATTAAGGCTTCGCAGGAAAAGTCAGCCCACAAGGAGACGACTGCCCACACTTCCAAAAATTCACTGCCTTTGTCAGCCCGCTGTCTTTTAAAATTAATTTTAAATAATTATGATTCACACCTTCAAAAAATCCCATCTAAACTAAATAAAGTTTAAAATGGCCATTTTATGAAGGAGCAATCAAGATCTGAATTGAACAAGGAAACAGCAGCAAAGGAGGAAGGAAATTATCTGTCATAAAGGAAAGAAATTATCTGTCATA